CACGAGAACTTGGTACTCTGGTTAAGTGTCGGGTAAATATAAGAAAGAGTAAATCCGTCACTTTTTACACTTTAACTGAGACATAAAGCTAACAGAACACACAACATCACTGTGAAAGGAACTTTCTAAAACAGATCCAGTCTACACAGTGCAGCCAGTAAAACTTAAAAAGAATAGTTTGTTCACGATCTGCCTTGTACTGGATAGTTACATTCTTTCTAGGCCATATAAATAGCATTTATATAGCTTACACATTCAGAGACATGCACTGGGACTTTTTAGGTAGTACAAATTTCTTCACAATCACATGTGCAAATTTTACAAATCACTAAGTGAGTATTAATAAGCTTAGGCTGGACCGTGTCTCGTATTATCTAACAAATTTAACGGGGGCTCAGAATCATCCATAGGAAGAACCAGGCGTGTGCCCCGAATGACCAATTCGTGGTCCCCAAATGCAAGCTCCCGATCCAAGGCATCTTCAGAACTGTTCCCCAGAAATCTCCTGGGGGCACTGGATGTCGCTGATTCCGTGTTCACAGTAGAATCCCCGTATGTCAAACTGATATCGCCATCGTTGAGAATAAGATCGGAATCATCATCCTTCAACTGCTCCTGGTTCTAAATGCAAATTAAAATCAGGTTTAAGAATTGTTACAGGATTCCAGAGACATTTCTAATTGCAGGACTTTAGGGGACTGTCTATTTAAAATTCTTGAGTGGTAGCTGCTGCTCTCAGGAGAAAGTTGTAAGTCCTGACCTTGGCTTAACAGGCACACTGACTTGGTCGCTTCAGTTTCACTTCCTGCCACCATCAGCCTGGCCCGCCCCAACGGCCATGTTGTGTGGCAGCCAGACCCAATTGCTCACGGTTGCCCAGCTCTCCAGTGCTTTCTCTTGCCTCAGCATGCTGTCCCCCTGCTCCTTCACATGACTAGCACCTCCTTAGCACTTTCTGCCAGATATCTCCCTGGATCTTCGAGGACTGGTGAGGTGTCCTTCCTGTGTGCTCTTGTAGCATTCTGTGCGTGGCCCTCTCCTGGGAGTAGCACTTACTCTGTCCATGTCTGTCTGCCCTCGAGGGGCTTCAAGTGTGTGTGGAGGGGTAAAGACCAGATAGATACGCATGTGGTTCTGCTGGAAGGGTCAGTGCCAACCACTTAACATGGCTCAGGACACAGAGAAATACAAGGGCTCTTTGAAAAGTGTGTAGAAGTGCTTATTATGAAAAACACAAATGCATGGACTTTGAAAACTTTCTGTACCAAAATAAACTTGTACTTCCATTCCGTTTTTCCGTGAACTTGTTAAAGTCCCCTGGTGTGTTGAACCCTCACTGCATACCTGTCTCCCAGCCCCAGAAATTTAAGTTCTAATGGAAAGTTTGTGACCAAAATATTGGGTCATCAGAAAAGTCAGGACCTATGTTTATCTATGCAAAAATGTGTCATGACTGGGAACCAGCAGTTAGTTTAATGGCTATGTCGCTGGACTCCCACGTGGTCGACCGCGGTTCGCGTCCTGCACCCGGTGGCTTAAAACTCACGCCGGGCGCATGTGCGTGCATGCCCAAGATCCCGAGAGGAGAATGGAGGAGAAGGGATTGTGGCATGACCATCCTCCCTGGGGGGTGATTTCTCGCTTTCTGTCTCTATGTCTCTCTCTGTCTGTCTGGCGAGTGCACGCGCCCTACAGCGAAAATCTCTCCAAAAAAAAAAGTGTCATGACTTTTCTGATGACTCAATAGTACACTTAGATAAAGTTCTACAAGAGGGAGAAGAGGTAAGAATATATGATCCCATTTTGGTAAAAGAAAAATGTATGTGTACCTGGAACAGTCTGGAAGGGCATTCAACAGAATAATGGCTCTGAATGACAGGTTTGCTAATGTTCCATTTCCTCCTTTATATGTTTCTGTACTATCTGAAAGGAGGTTTTTTGTTTGTTTTTACATCAGGCTGATTTTATTGTTCAAAATGAGGACATCCATTACAACCCAGCTATATAAAATAAATTGAACTTAGACTAGACTTCCAAATTAACATAGTACCAATAATTTAAGGTAGATTTTTGTAAAAAAATGAAACATATTCAGTCACATTCCTCTTGATAAAAATAGTAATCATTTAGTAAGATACAAAAAGGATTTGTACTATTAGATCTATTTACAAAAAATAAGTATTTTGTCTGTTTGCTTTTGAGAGATTTTTTTCTATAGGGAATGTGTGCCTGCCAGAGAGACAGAGACAGAGCGACAAAGTGAGAAATCACTCCCTCCCTGGGATTTCTCGCTTTCTGTCTCTATGTCTCTCTCTGTCTGTCTGGCGAGTGCACGCGCCCTACAGCGAAAATCTCTCCAAAAAAAAAAGTGTCATGACTTTTCTGATGACTCAATAGTACACTTAGATAAAGTTCTACAAGAGGGAGAAGAGGTAAGAATATATGATCCCATTTTGGTAAAAGAAAAATGTATGTGTACCTGGAACAGTCTGGAAGGGCATTCAACAGAATAATGGCTCTGAATGACAGGTTTGCTAATGTTCCATTTCCTCCTTTATATGTTTCTGTACTATCTGAAAGGAGGTTTTTTGTTTGTTTTTACATCAGGCTGATTTTATTGTTCAAAATGAGGACATCCATTACAACCCAGCTATATAAAATAAATTGAACTTAGACTAGACTTCCAAATTAACATAGTACCAATAATTTAAGGTAGATTTTTGTAAAAAAATGAAACATATTCAGTCACATTCCTCTTGATAAAAATAGTAATCATTTAGTAAGATACAAAAAGGATTTGTACTATTAGATCTATTTACAAAAAATAAGTATTTTGTCTGTTTGCTTTTGAGAGATTTTTTTCTATAGGGAATGTGTGCCTGCCAGAGAGACAGAGACAGAGCGACAAAGTGAGAAATCACTCCCCAGGTGGGATGGCCACATTACAATCCCTTCTCTTCCATTCTCCTCTTGGGACTCTGGGCATACATGCAAATGCACCCGGTATAAGCCCCAAGCTGCTGGATCCAGAACCTGAACCGTGGTTGACCACATGGGAATCTAGCAACACAAACACTAAGCCCTCTCCTGGTCCGCAGAAAATAAATATTTGAAGGGACTTTTTATTCCATGTTGACCTCATGCTCTTGACATTTCAATGTTTCTTTTCCAATGTACCTAATATAATACATGTGTACATATCTTGTACATGAATATGGCACACATGCTCAAAGGTTTTTAGTGCTAGAATTGATCATTCGATCTTTTTGGAGGCTATTGCTTTAGGCTAAAGATTCCTGGGACTGGGAGATGGCACAATGGCCGTGTCGCTGGACTCCCACAGAGTGGCTTAAAACTCATGCCAGGCATGTGTGTGCACATGTCCAAGATCCCAAGAGGAGAATGGAGAAAGGACCACATCATGGGCATACCCCCGGGCAGTGACCTCTCTCTTTCCATCTGTCTCTCCAGCAAGTGCACACTTCCCACAGCAAAAGTCTCCCTAAAGAAAACGAAAAGATCCTTAAACTTTTAGGGGTAGGAAAGAGTCACAGACTCCTGTGAAACAATAAAAGATATGCACTCTCTTAGAAAAACTATGCACTCATTCTGCCGAATAGAAAAGTTTATTATAACAAAAGCTTATTACTTTCAAACAAAACAAAAGTCATTGTTTTCTAGTATAAAGAATAAGAATCATTCTAAATATTCACACTGAACTGACCAAAAAAATCTATATTTAATACTCCTTGAGGGGAGTAGAGCTGATAGAAACATCTCAAATACTAGTAAATCCAAATACTGTGTTTGAAAATGCTTAATTTGGGGGCCAACAGGTGATGTGATGATTAGGGCGCCTGACTCCCACATGGCCAAACACAGTTCAAGTCCCAGACCTGGTGTCTTGAAAAATCACCGGACATGTGTGCCCCAAAACCCGAGAAAAGAATGGAGGAGAAGGGACTATAGCCTAGCCATCTCTTTTGAGGAGTGATTTCTCACTCCCCGCCCACCCCTCCTCTCTCTGTCTCTCCAGCGAGTACACACTCCCTATGTCAACAACCTAAAAATTCCTAAAAAAAAAAAAAAAAAAAGGTTTTTAGTGCTAGAATTGATCATTCGATCTTTTTGGAGGCTATTGCTTTAGGCTAAAGATTCCTGGGACTGGGAGATGGCACAATGGCCATGTCGCTGGACTCCCACAGAGTGGCTTAAAACTCATGCCAGGCATGTGTGTGCACATGTCCAAGATCCCAAGAGGAGAATGGAGAAAGGACCACATCATGGGCATACCCCCGGGCAGTGACCTCTCTCTTTCCATCTGTCTCTCCAGCAAGTGCACACTTCCCACAGCAAAAGTCTCCCTAAAGAAAACGAAAAGATCCTTAAACTTTTAGGGGTAGGAAAGAGTCACAGACTCCTGTGAAACAATAAAAGATATGCACTCTCTTAGAAAAACTATGCACTCATTCTGCCGAATAGAAAAGTTTATTATAACAAAAGCTTATTACTTTCAAACAAAACAATAGTCATTGTTTTCTAGTATAAAGAATAAGAATCATTCTAAATATTCACACTGAACTGACCAAAAAAATCTATATTTAATACTCCTTGAGGGGAGTAGAGCTGATAGAAATAGCTCAAATACTAGTAAATCCAAATACTGTGTTTGAAAATGCTTAATTTGGGGGCCAACAGGTGATGTGATGATTAGGGCGCCTGACTCCCACATGGCCAAACACAGTTCAAGTCCCAGACCTGGTGTCTTGAAAAATCACTGGACATGTGTGCCCCAAAACCCGAGAAAAGAATGGAGGAGAAGGGACTATAGCCTAGCCATCTCTTTTGAGGAGTGATTTCTCACTCCCCGCCCACCCCTCCTCTCTCTGTCTCTCCAGCGAGTGCACACA